ATAGTGTCAGAAACTGTTTCTGGGGTAGAAGGGATAAACTGAGACCAAACTGGGAACTGTCAGGGAGAAAGACTCTGAAGAAACAGAAGGGACAGATTCCTCCCCAGAAAATGCATGACCTGAAAAAGCTGCTAGAATTTGAGGCAGATTCGGGGGGAGGAAAAAAAAAAGCCCCTACTTTCAAAGGCAGCTAGCAGAGGAACAGAGCCACAAACAGATAGCTGAAGCTCTGCATCTGGGGAAGGAAGGAACAAGCAAAATGAGAATAAAATCAGTGGGAGAAAATCTCTGAAGGAGCTATGGAAAAGCTCTGTTGTAAATGTTTTTCACTGACTGGCTAAGACAAACACAAGCCCCAAGGAAAGTTGCTATCAGAAATTGCCCACCTCAATGCGCGCTAATGAGGCAGGTGCGGTTCTGATTTGGGGGTCAGTGTCAAATGAAGGAGAGACACCTGTTGAAGCCAGCTAAGAGACCAGAAACCTCCCAATGTCCCATAATTGAAAATGTAAAATGCTTGTTCAAATCTCCCATTGCAAAAGCAAAAAACTTTGTTCAAACCTCCCGGGAAAGAATTTGTAAGAAGTCTGGTAAAAGAACCAGTTGACTCTCAGCCCCAAAAAGAACTATGGGAAATGACTGATAAAAGGGAAATGATATAAAGGACTGATATAAGGTACTGATACTATTATGGACTGATATAAGGGAAATGCATTCTGGGAAAGGTAGTTTTTCCGCTAAAGATGGCGACATTGCCCTGAAACACTTTTGTCAGCTCGAAAATACGTTCATGGTAAACTTAAAATACAGCTTTTAAAAGAATAAGGAGGAAAATCATCTAAGAGTTTAAGTGTCAGTTCCAATGAAAAATTGAAAGGATACGGAACTAGGTGCTTCGCGGTTTGGGGCTCCATTGGTAAAATGCCTTATTTACCCTAATAGCTGTGCAAAGTTTTTGCGGCAGTTGGATGACAAAAAGCTACCTTTAAGAGCAAACAAGCCACTTTAAAATCCATAAGAAAGCAAGGGAAAGCAGTTTATACACTGAACGTTGTCTTAGATATGAAGAAACTTATGTGAAATTGAAAATTATTTACCTCTTGAACAAACAGCCTGCAATGAGTGATTCTTTTGCAAATCTAACTAAGGGGATAAGAAACAGGCATTCAAAAAGAAATGACTGCTTTATAGATGGGAAACAAACTTCAGAAAATCTAGCTGTCTTACAAAAGAGTTGCTTCACCTGAAAGTTCCTTATAAGAAATCAATGCTAAATATCACAGCTGCTAATATATCAGGAGTTAAAGCTAATGAAGTGAAAATACTAAGTACAGTTTGGAGCTGTGCGGCTTTTGGCTTTACTAGCTCCTTTAGAAAAATACTTTATATCACCTAATAGCTGTGCAGTATTTGGTGAAGAGCTTTACAGCAGCTAAATACGGTAATTTCACCCTCAGCGTGAAGTGAAGTTTTTTGGTAGAACAAACCAAAAGTACTGCTGTAATAGAAACATTTGTCTGAATTGAAGCACTTAGGGGAGCTATTATGAATTTGGGTGAATGGACAGCCTCTAGTTAAAAACCGTTTACCGCTGACAGTACATCTCTGCTGGTTCAGAAAGGCCGAGAGAACTCGGCAACTTTGGGTTGTGACTTTGTCCCGAGAATGTTACAGTCCCCTAGCAACAACTATCACAATTCTATAACAACACTCACTAAATCCCAGTGCTTTATAACAAAGCTGACTATAAATTCTAAACTTTAGAAATGATGTACGTACTTCCTGTCTAGTTAAGAGAATTTTTCTAATAGAGATAGTGATAATTAAGAGTAAGAAGTAGAAAAAGATGAAAATAAGATATGTGAGTTTGTAGAAATTATTCTCTTGTTAGATCTCTGTGTTAAGAAATCTTTGGGTGTTTGCTAAGTTAAATATATGCTAATGGTAGCCCTATATAAGTTTGTAAAATAGATCTATAGAGTTCCTTTAAGAATATAAGCTTGCAAAAAATATCTAAGGCAGTCTTAAGACATGTAGTAATAAGCCTGTAAGAAGTAAAGATACTAGTTGTAAATGAAAGTTTAATTAAGAAGATAAGAAGTATATAAGAAGTAATAAGAAATATATTTGCTAAAGTCGTTCTATAGTTTCCTTAAGGAGTATAAATAAGTAGATGTTGATACGTTATATGTGAGTTTGTACAATGTAAATGTTGAATGTGAGTCTAAATGCTTTGCAAGGCAAAAAATGTTAAGAGTGAGTCTATTTTTAATGTATATGGTGAAAAAACCTGAGATACAGAGTTAGTGTCCTAGCAGACTGCAAAGTAGGCAGTCTGAATGGTTTCAAAAGTTCCAGAAGCCGCTAAGAAGCTAAGAAGCTAAGAATGGCGGACGCCAGAACCAGCACAAGGCATCCGCAGCTGAGATCCATGGAAAATCGATGCAACACAGAAAAACCTGAGCTAACATCAAAAATGGTGTGGTTTAGAATACTACTGTACCTAAAAAGGTCTCTGGCTTGAGAATAAAAGTTCAGAGACGCTTGTTTGAACGAAAATTGTTAACTGCAAAAAATTTGGGTTGAAAAACGTCTATTCATATTCAAAAGAGAAATGCCATCTTTATCATCCTCTACTCCCATATTGGGAGGTGTAACAGCTATGGAGATTGCTGTAAGCCATTAATAGTTATTTTTTTATATATTAAGAAAGGGGGACCTGTGGGAGCCCGTTCTCGGGTTCCTCGTGGCTTTACCCAGCAGGTCCGCATAGAGGATGATTAGACCACGGGCCTGAGTGCAGGTGTCTGAGATGGTCTGCACTTGGCTGTGCTGGGGGAGGAGGTCTTTTGCTCCACCCCTTGGCGTCTCTATAAAAACCCTGGGGCAGAGACAGTCGGGGCCCGTTGGAATAGGTTCCAGGCCCTCTCGAGGCTATCCTTTATTTTCTATCTGTTTCTCTCTGCGATATTCTCCGCAATAAATCCTTCTATCTAATATTTCCTGCTGCTCGCACTCAAGAAAACTCTGGGGAACTGTGGGGGTGGTTGGGTAAACGCCCCACAGTCACCTTAATAGTAGAATGTATCACATGATTACAGAACATCTTAGGAACTGTGATAGCTAATTTTTTTGTCAATTTGACATAAGCTAAAGTCATTTGGGAAGAAGGTATTATTTGGGAGAAAATGCCCCACCAGCTTGGCCTGTGGGCAAAACTATGGGGCATTTTCTTGACTAATGATTGCTATGGGAGAGCACAGAGACCAGCCCTGGGAAGGTGGTCCTGGGAGTGTAAGAAAGCAAGCTAAGTAAACCATGGGGGAGCAAGCCAGTAAGCAGCACTCCTCCATGACCTCTGCATCAGCTCCTGCCTCCAGGTTCCTTCAGTGATGTAGTGAGGTGTGGAACTGTAAGCTGAAATCAACCCTTCCCTCGCCAAGTTACTTCTGGTCACAGTGTTTGTTGCAGTACAAACCTAACTGAAGCAGAGATTCAGGATCCAAAATGATTTTCATATGGCAACTCTGGAAACGCTATCTTTTGTTTGGACACAGAGAAATGCTTCTCAAATATCAGGATTGTACCACTTAGGTAATAACTCAAGAGTGGAGTAGAGGGAGCACGGCATAGAAGAGGAGAGAAGGGGGCAGCGGTATGACATGAGATCAGAAAAGTTACCAAGTGCACCATCACCATCCAGGCTGCCCCCATCTCCCCACATCAGCACACTGCCCTGGAGGAAAGAGCAGACGAGTGGCTGACTGAACATTCTGGATCCCGACTGCATCGCTGCCAGCCTGCTGCCTGTCAGTTTCTGCAGTTCTATGTCCCGGGGCCCCAGAGAAAGGTAGGAGGAGGTCCCCGGGCTCCTCTGGGATAAACCCCACACCCACAGTGAAGGCTAAGCAAGACTCACACTTGCAATCTCTCTGACATTCCTAAGTCACAGAAAGAAGTGACTTTATTTGGCAATGGGCTAAGTGGCCAAGGGGAGTCAAGGCAAAGGTGACACACAGGAAGACAAGGAAAGCCAACTCCAGGACCCACTCCCCACGGCACTTATTCTCGTGAAAGCCACAGCTCTGCAAGGGCCTGTGGCCAGACAGCAGTGGTCTATCTAGGAGCTGGGACAGAGTGCTGCATGAGGCAAAAATCTTACCCATCTCCCATTACCCCAAACAGTGTGCGTGTGTGTGTGTGTGTGTGTGTGTGTGTGTGTGTGTGTGTGTGTACGCACATGTGCATGGGGGTGGGGGTGGGGTGAGACAGAAAAGAATAAGCCACCAGTGGGAAATCCCCAGCGCAGTGCTGGATTGCGAGGTGTCTGAATGAGGATTTGAGGTAAGGTTGCTGGTGGGGCAGGTAGGCTGGCAAGGTCTGCAGCCTTTACATAGAGGAGGGAGTATGGAGGAAGGAGCTTCATCTAGGATTCATATTCTGGGAAGGATCTGGCCAAATAAGATAATGCTAGGAAAACTATAAAGAGCAAGGCCCTGATGTAAGGACAAGCCTAGCTCCTCCGAGGCTGAAGTGGAGGCCGTTTTGTGTAGAGAGAGTTATAAAGGGGACAACAGTGTCACAGGAGAGTAGAGCAGCTGGCTGGCGTGGACAAAAAGTGCTTTGCTTCACCTTGTGTCCATAAACAAAACGGGGTTGGGGATTTAGCTCAGTGGTAGAGCACTTGCCTAGCAAGCACAAGGTCCTGGGTTCAGTTTCAGCTCCAAAAAAAGGGAACAAAACAGCCTGACAAGAACCATGGCTCACATCATCCAAGTATGGTTTGTTTTGTTTTTTTCTGCCTCTACATCTCAGACATAGGTGATATACACTAGCATACTTCAGGAGTCACAGAAGCTCTCAGAGTTCATTTCCAAGTTAACCACTAATGCTCATTTACCAAAAATTCATGAACTCATTCTTTAAGTTCAGAGGAGCCAGGGTAACCATCCTGCAGTGAAGAAAGCAGGTGCAAGGTGAGCAGCTGTGTCTGCACCTACGTGTAAATAACACCGTAATTGTGCATCTTAGGATCTTCCTCTTCAATGGAGAACCGAAGCCACTGCTCCTGTGGTCCTTGACGTTTCTCTTTCTTCTCCAGATCCCAGTACAGTTCGATGCTGTGATGAGTCACTTTGCCCACGACAGGAGGATGCGGCTTTGAGGATGGCACAATTTCTGAAAGGATAAATATGGGATTTCAGGACCCTATTTCCAGAAGGGAGAGAGAGTTGGTAGGTCATAGCTGCCTGGTGACCCAACAGTTTCCCACACACTGAACACTCAAATAAAGGTGACACCTGAGAAGCCAAAGGGCTACAAAACTCAGCAGGCACATGAGCGCCCCGACAGTCCTGAAGGTGTGCACTGTTTCACTGATATTATAATTCACGTGACCCTTCCAGAAAGTGGGTTACTGTGGCACAGCAATTGGCTGACTCTTTAAGAATGAATGAAACTGGGTAGCCCCAGCCGCTGGGCAGCAGGCAAGTCTCCTGCAGCCAAGCCATAGCTCCACCACCACCACCACCACCACCACCACCAGAGGCATCAGAGCCCACCCCCTCCTAGGCACAGCCCCCACCTGCACCTATTGGAAGAAGAGTGGCATCAGAACCTACCCCTACCCCCCTACCCTGAGGCACAGGCTCCACCTGCACTGACTGGAGAAAGAGGTTAGTGGCTGGTCTCCCGGCTGGGCAGCCCAGCTCTCTAGGCCCTAGGTCTCAGGGCACATTCTGCGCCCCTCCCCCACCCATCCCAGCCCCAAACCGCTGTACCACCATCCCCAGCAGCATCAGAGCCCCCACCCCCGACAGACTCAACTTACACTGATTGGAGTAAGAGCACTCCCCCTACCATGCATAGATACCACCCGCACTAATTGGAGGAAGAGCACCCCAGAGGCAAAGCACCATGAGCACCATGGAAGAACCAACACCTGTATCTATTAATTAGCCCAAACCCAGATGGGTAGACAGTAGTATAAGAATACATTCAACATAAAGAGCAACATGGCACCACCAGAACCTAGTGGTTCTACAACAGCCAGACCTGAACACCCCAATGCAGATGAAGCAGAGGAAAACGAACTTAAAAATAACTTTATGAAGATGATAGAGGCCCTTAAAAAGGAAATGAAAAATACCCTTAAAGAAATGGAGGAAAAGACAAACAAAAAATTGGAAGAAATCAATAAATCCCTCAAAAAAAAAAAAGAAAGCCAAGAAAAAAAAACCATCAAACAGGTGAAGGAAACAGTTCAAGACTTAAAAATTGATATAGAGGCAATAAAGAAAACACAAACAAAGGAATTCTGAGAATGGAAAATCTGAGTAAACAAACAGGCACTACAGATGCAAGCACAACCAACAGAATACAAAAGATGGAAGAGAGAATCTCAGGCATTGAAGACAGGATAGAGGAAATAGATTCATCAGTCAAAGAAAATGTCAAACCCAACAAATTCTTAACACAAAATATCCAGGAAATCTGGGACACCACGAAAAGACCAAACCTAAGAATAATAGGGGTAGAAGGAGAATTCCAGCTCAAAGTCACAGAAAATATATTCAACAAAATCATAGAAGAAAACTTTCCCAATCTTAAGAAAGACATGCCTATGAAGGTACAAGAAGCTTACAGAACACCAAATAGACTGGACCAAAAAAAAAAAAAAGTCTCCTCACCACATAATAATCAAAACACTAAACATACAGAATAAAGAAAGAATAATAAGAGCTGCAAAAGACAAAGGCCAAGTAACATGAAAAGGCAGACCTATCAGAATTACATCCGATTTCTCAATGGAGACTCTAAAAGCCAGAAGGTCCTGGACAGACGTTTTGCAGACACTAAGAGACCACAGATGCAAATCCAGACTACCCAGCAAAGCTTTCAATCACCATCAATGGAGAAAACAAGATATTCTGTGACAAAACTAGATTTAAACAATACCTAACAACAAATCCAGCCCTATAGAAAGTACTAGAAGGAAAACTCTAACCCAAGGAAATTAGCTACAACCACAAAAACACAGGCAATAGATAATCTCACACCAGCAAATCCCAAAGAAGGGAAACACATACACACTAACAACAACACCACCACCAAAAATTAACAGGAATTAACAATCACTGGGCATTAATATCCATTAACATCAATGGATTCAATTCACCTGTAAAAAGATAAAGGCTAACAGAATGGGTACAAAAACAGGATCCATCCTTCTGCTGCATACAAGAAACACACCTTAACTTCAAAGACAGACACTACCTCAGAGTAACAGGTTAGGAAAAGATTTTCAAATCAAATGGACCTAAGAAACAAGCTGGTGTAGGTATCCTAATATCTAACAAAATAGACTTCAAATTAAAATTAATCAAAAGAGATGGAGAGGGACATTTCATATTCATCACAGGAAAAATCCATGAAGATGAAGTCTCAATTCTGAACATATATACCCCAAATACATTTGTAAGAGAAATATTACTTAAGCTTAAATCACATATCAAATCCCACACACTAATAGTGGGAGACTTCAACACCCTACTCTCACCAATGGACAGGTCTGCCAGACAGGAACTTAACAGAGAAATAAGGGAATTAATAGATGTTATGACTCAAATGGACTTAATAGACATCTATAGAACATTCCACCCAAACACAAAAGAATGTATCTTCTCAGCATCCCATGGAACCTTCTCTAAAATTGACCACATACTTCGTCACAAAGAAAATCTCAACAGATACCAAAAAAAAAAAAAAAATGGAATAACTCCCTGTATCTTTTTTTTTTTTTAAAAAGGACCAGCCTTATTTTATTTTTTTAGATTTATTTATTTATTATGTATACAATGTTCTGCCTGCATGTATGTCTGCAGGCCAGAAGAGGGCACCAGATCTCATTACAGATGGTTGTGAGCCACCATGTGGTTGCTAGGAACTGAACTCAGGACCTCTGGAAGAGCAGTCAGTGCTCTTAACCTCTGAGCCATCTCTCCAGCCCCATTCCCTGTATCTTATTGGATCACCATGACTTAAATTTAGAATTCAACAACAACACAAATTACAGAAAGCCTACAATCTCATGGGAACTGAACAACACTCAACTGAACCACCACTGGGTCAAGGAAGAAATAAAGAAATTAAAGACTTCCTAGAATTCAATGAAAATGATTGCACAAGATACTCAAACTTATGGGACACTATGAAAGCAGCACTAAGAGAAAAGTTCATAGCACTAAGTGTCCACATAAAGAATTTGAAGAAATCTCACACTAGTGACTTAACAGCACACCTGAAAGCTCTAGAACAAAAAGAAGCAAATTCACCCAGGAGAAATAGATGCCAGGAAATAATCAAATTGAGAGCTGAAATCAATAAAATAGAAACAAAGAGAGCAATACAAAGAATCAATGAAACAAAGAGTTGGTTCTTTGAAAAAAAAATCAACAAGATAGACAAACCCCTATCCAATCTAACCAAAAGGCAAAGAGAGAATATCCAAATTAACAAAATCAGAAATGAAAAGGAGGACATAACAATAGACACTGAGGAAATCCAGAGAATCATTAGGTCATACTTCAAAAACCTGTACTCCACAAAATTGGAAAATCTAAAAGAAGTGGACAATTCTCTGGATAGGTACCACTTATCAAAATTAAATCAAGACCAGATAAACAACTTAAATAGACCTATAACCCCCAAGGAAATAGAAGCAGTCATTAAAGGTCTCCCAATCAAAAAAAGCCCAGGGCCAGATGGTTTTAGCACAGAATTCTACCAGAATTTCAAAGAAGAACTAATACTAATATTCCACAAATGTTCCACACAATAGAAACAGAAGGAACATTGCCAAACTCTTTTTATGAGGCTACAGTCACCCTAATACCCAAACCACACAAAGATGCAACAAAGAAAGAGAATTACAGACCAATCTCCCTCATGAACATTGATACAAAAATACTCAATAAAATATTGGCAAACCGAATCCAAGAACACATCAAGGGGAATCCGTGGCTGATATGTAAAATTAAATTGATTATAAAATAAAAATGTTTATTTAAAATTAAAAAAGAAAGAAAATCATCAACCACTATCAAGTAGGCTTCATCACAGAGATACAGGGATGGTTTAACATACAAAAATCTGTCAATGTAATCCATCATATGAACAAAATGAAAGAAAAAAAGCACACGATCATTAGATGCTGAAAAAGAAGCCTTCTACAAAATCTAACACCCCTCCATAATAAAGGTCCTGGAGAGATCAGGAATACAAGGAACATACCTAGACATAATAAAGGCAATTTACAGCAAGCCCACAGTCAACATCAAATTAAATGGAAAGAAACTCAAAGCAATTCCACTAAAATCAGGAACAAGACAAGGCGTCCACTCTCCCCATATTTATTCAATACAGTACTTGAAGTTCTAGCTAGAGCGATAAGACAACAAATGGAGATCAAGGGGATAGAAATTGGAAAGGAAGAAATCAAACTTTCACTATTTGTAGATGATATGATAGTATACATAGTGACCCCAAAAATTCTACCAGGTAACTCTTACAACTGATAAACACCTTCAGCAACGTGGTGGGATACAAGATTAACTCAAAAAATTCAGTAGTCCTCCTATATACAAATGATAACTGGGCTGAGAAAGAAATCAGGGAAACATCATCCTTTACAATAGTCACAAATAACATAAAATATCTTGGGGTAACTCTAGCCAAACAAATGAAAGACCTGTATGATAAGAACTTTAAGTCTTTGAAGAAAGAAATTGAAGATGATATCAGAAAATGGAAAGATCTCCCATGCTCTTGGATAGGTAGGATCACATAGTAAAAATGGCAATCTTACCAAAAGCAATCTACAGATTCAATGCAATCCCCATCAAAATCCCAACACAATTATACACAGACCTCAAAAGACCAATACCCAACTTCATATAGGAAAAAAAAAAAAAAACAGAATAGCCAAAACAATCCTTTACAATAAAGGAACCTCTGGAGGCATCACCATCCCTGACTTCATGCTCTACTATAGAGCTATAGTAATAAAAACAGCTTGGTGTTGACATAAAAACAGACATGTGGACCAATGGAATCGAATTGAAGACTCTGACATTCATCCACACATCTATGAACTCCTGATTTTTTTTTGTTTTTGGTTT